ACTGCGCCACCCAGGCGCCCCTCAAAATAGCTTCTTTAGGCTTAGTTAGACATAGATTTTTATCTTCTCTAATACTCCTGGTTTCAACTGAATTACTTGAGATAGAAAAGGAGGTAGTTTCTACATCATCATCTTTGATACAGCTTTGTCTACTTTGTGGTTATTTTCCTTTCTCATTTGGTTGTTGCTTTGCAAAAAAAAAAAAAAAAAAAGGAATTGCGGTCAGCTCTTCAATGAGTATCTGCTTCACTAATGAGTTTTATGCCCTCAGCTACTCTTCGTGCTTTTGTACACACAACAGTTTTCCCTCTTCATGTGAAACCAACAATGCACATGCCTTGAGTCCAACAGTGACGGTACAAAGAACTGTTGTCACCCTCGCACATACGTAGACCATGCCAACTGTAATGACCATCACCGGGCCAACAGCAGTTGCAGCCCAGTTGCAGAGATACTAAAATGTACCTTGGAACTGATGAAATGCAGTATTCAGATTAAAGGGTGGCCGATGAAGAAAGCTGGTTATATTGTTAATCTCTTGTTCCTCCTTGCTGGTTCTTACCTTGTTCACTCAAGTGAGTAGCAGCAGTTATATAAAGCTGCGGTCCCTTTGTCTTCTCTCTTTACCTTGTCTCCCTGGTCCATGTAAATTACTTGAAGGGCTTTTACGGTGTCATGATTTCTGAGGCTACATCTCCATCCCTTTCTTTATCCCCCATACCATTTCCTCCTCTATCTCCTGGGACATCTTCATACCTCAAATTATATGGGAGCCAAGCTGAATTCCTTAACTTCTCTTCTGAGTCCATATTCTGCTGTGTGCTCTGTTCCAACTAATGGTATCATCTAACAGTCTCCCAACCTAGAAACCCTAGAGAGACGTGTTCGAGTGTTCTTCCCTTCATCCAAGGAGCTGTCACATCTTGAGAATTCTGTCCCTACAGAGCCTTGCTTTTCCATTCCCACTCACATTCCCGTAGCCATTTATCTTGTATTGACTGTTGAAATGGCCCTCTGATTGGAAATAATACCTCCATTCTCTTGCCTTGTCTGTTTCATTGCTGCCAGTGTTCTGAATCCCTTTAAAGCATTTGTCAAGTTGTGTTACTCCTTTCATCAAAAATCATTTCCCATTGCCTATAAAATGAAGCTGCAAATCCTGAACATGGTAATCAAAGTTGTACGTGATCTGGTCCTCAACTTCTTTACAGCTTACTTTTTATATTCCATCCTCCATTACACCATACCCCAAGCACCAGTCATACCCAATTATTTGCTGTTTTGTCTTGTGAGTGTCATTGCTATAGAATGATCTTCCCCTTACCCCAGTGACTTAAAATCCTACTTATCTTTTAATCCCACAAAACTAAAAGTAATTGATTTTCCTTTTGTACATGCATGGAAGGTATTTATGCCATTATTGCCCTATTTTCTCTGTACTGTATTTATGTATATTTATATTCTTGTTCTTTCCATGAAAGAGTAAGTTCTTTTGAGAATGCAATTACATTTCATTCATTCTGGTTTTTTTTTTTTTTTTTTAAAAACAAAACCACCCATAACAGTGTCTTTTTTTTTTTTTTTTTTTTTTCCCCTATCCCTTCTACCCACCCACACCTCCCTCTCGGCCTGCCAAAATCTCACAGTGTCCTTAAATGTGGGGTGAACTGTATGTATTGATTTGGATTAATTTGAATTAAGTTAAAAAAATGAATTCTTTACTCATTTACTTATGGTTATATTTGCTGTAGGTATACAGTATGTTTTAGGCATTCTATAGAATGTTAAGAGATGGGAGTAATTTTTTCAGATAGCTCTTAGGCTTTTCCCAAACATTCTCAGTTTAAAAATACCCATTTGTTCATTTCAAAGGATAATTTCTTGAGAGGAGATAGCTCCCGTAAAGTTCAGCACCAGCAGCAGAGGAAACCCAGGAAAAAAACCAAGCCTCCTGCACTTACCAAAAAACACAAGAAGAAGAGACGGCGTGGACCTCGTCGACCCCAAAAACCCATTCCCCCTGCAGTCCCCCAAGGGAACCTCAGCATGCCCACCAGCGTCTCACTGCCAGTGGAGACCACTCAGATCCGGTCAGTGATGGTTCTCACAACACCTAGCATCATCTCTGTAGCGTTGCAGCTCGGCCACCGAAGCCATTCGATAGACGAGCCTAGACCTTGTAGTCTTCAATGTAATTTTTACCAAATATCTGATTGGGTGAGATCTGAAATAAAGTTTTTCACTGTAACACAGAAAGCAGATGCTGAAATTGAGAATTTAATTGTCTGCCCTCAGATTTTTCTGCTTTAGCAGAAATTCCATATATGTTTCGACAGAAATGTTCCGTCAGAAATCTGATACCTTACTGATTTTGGCAGGAGTTAAGCATTTTGACCAGTCGAATGAGGCTTCTGTTTCAGCTAGACATTTCAGTTTTATCTGTCCATTTCACTTTTTAAAAATTACTATTTGACTAGACTTGAAATTCTAAAAAGTATTAAGACACACTCAATGCACAAAATTGTGATTTGTTCTACTAATGTGAGGTAAAGCTATCTCGAAACGGTTGCCTTCTCTTCCTACATGGGTGAAGATTTTGGGGCTGTGTGACTGAGTATGGTCAGGTCTTCCTTTTGCTTGCAAATTTCCTTTTCTGGAAGTAGGAAAAGGAGGCATTTTAAGCTAGGATTTCCCATTTTCACATTTGACGAACGTGTCTTGGGGACACTGGTGTGAAGGGATAAGGGGCGTGATGGGGCCAACTGTGTCCTCTTCCCCAGGAGCCCATCCACGCCGGAGCTGAGTGCTGATGAATTGCCGGACGACATTGCCAATGAGATCACTGACATTCCACATGACTTGGAATTGAACCAGGAGGACTTTTCAGACGTCCTGCCACGGCTGCCTGATGACTTACAAGATTTTGATTTTTTTGAAGGTATGGCTCAATTTTTTGATTCAAGAAGGCTGAATGAGTTTTTAAAAAGGGAAATAGCGTTTGTGAAGTATTCCTCCTCACACACAGTGTCTTCCACCGTAATTAGAAAATGCAACCCTGCTAAACCGATTTTACCCTGCTTTCAGAAGGTAAGGAGTGCGGTTTGTCCAACTAGCCAAATTAATAGGCTTAGTAGGTTGATCATTCAACTGTTAGGTTGTTAACTTTGTCCCTTTAAAGTGAGTCATTTTACTCTATTTTTCAACAAAAACATCTTAAACTTGAGTTTACTGAAGCCTTTTAGAACTCGTCCTGTTCCAATACCCCACCCTGTACTTGAGTTGAAGTGCACTTTTCTAAAACAAAGTTTGCTTTAATCCCACCAGTTCTGTGGTGCTTTCAGGGAAAACCTTTTATGCCATTAGAAAGTTTCTTTCACCATTAAAAACTGGATATTTTTCTGGTGACTAGTCAAGTTCCTAACTCTAGAGATGTTTAATGTTGGAGACAAAGTCAGTGGCAGCCCCCAGGCTTTCCTCTCGAAAACTGGCAGGAGGGGAGCAGGACTAGCGGGAAACACACAGAAGCGTTTTGGAGAGGACTGAGTGCGAGTGAGTGCTCAGCTCCCGGGTGCGCCGCCTGTCTCTTTTCCCTCTGTCTTCTACGGCCGCCCTCCTGCTGGAGGAGAGAGTTCGAGAGCAGAAGCACCGAGGGGACTCTTGCATGGCTTTTTGTCTCCAGTCCGAACCAATATGATATATTTTCTGTTGTAATGATTTTGACATAACTTCAGGTAAAAACATGTGTAATCAGACGGCCACCATGCATTTTAAGTCGGTAATGCTTAGAAGAATCCTTATGAATTTAACGCTTTGGCCAGCTGGGTTTAGACACTGCTGTAAGTAAACTGAAGATACAGGCTGCAGGACAGCTTGACCTCTCAGGCCTGTCCTGCAGATTACTCTTTCACTCTTTCTTTCCAGTCTAGTCCCTGGAAGCTTCCCTTTTCCGTGGGGCCTCTCTTTAATAGAATACTGTTACAGATAATTCCAATGGAGGATTTTTGTGGTATGGCATACGTAACGACTCTGCTGATTTCTCTTGACGGCTTTTGTTTTGCTCAGGAAAGAACGGAGACCTTCTTCCAACTACCGAAGAGGCCGAGGAACTTGAGCGGGCCTTGCAGGCTGTCACTTCTCTTGAGTGCCTGAGTACCATTGGGGTACTTACCCAGTCAGATGGTGTGCCAGTCCAGGAGCTGTCAGAGAGAGGAATAGGGGTGTTCTCCACAGGTACTGGAGCTTCAGGAATTCAGTCCTTGAGCCGAGAAGTAAACACAGACCTAGGGGAGCTACTGAATGGGCGCATAGTACATGATAATTTTTCTAGTCTAGAGCTGGATGAGAACCTGCTCCGTTCTGCTACCTTGTCTAACCCACCTACACCCCTGGCAGGGCAGATCCAAGGGCAGTTCTCTGCCCCAGCCAACGTCGGCCTTACTTCTGCCACTCTGATCAGCCAGAGTGCACTTGGGGAGAGAGCCTTCCCAGGACAGTTTCATGGACTACATGATGGCAGCCATGCCTCCCAGAGGCCACATCCTGCCCAGCTGCTGAGCAAGGCAGATGACCTAATCACCTCACGACAGCAATACAGCAGTGATCATTCACACTCCTCGCCCCATGGAAGCCATTATGATAGTGAGCACGTGCCGTCTCCCTACAGTGACCATATCACCTCTCCCCACACAACATCTTACTCTGGTGATAATATGGCAGCTACCTTTTCAGCAGAGATGCCCATCATGGCGCAGCACTTGCTCCCAACCCAACTCGAGGTGCCACTTGGAGGAGTCGTGAACCCCAGAACTCACTGGGGCAATCTCCCTGTCAACCTTGGAGATCCCTCTCCATTTAGCAACCTTCTTGGCGCAGATGGACATCTTCTTTCCACTTCCCTATCCACGCCACCCACCACTTCGAACTCAGAGACCACACAGCCTGCCTTCGCCACCGTGACCCCCAGCAGCTCCAGCGTGCTTCCGGGGTTACCGCAGACCAGCTTCAGTGGCATGGGGCCTTCTGCTGAACTCATGGCCTCCACCTCTCCCAAGCAGCAACTCCCTCAGTTCAGCGCAGCCTTCGGCCACCAGCTGAGTTCTCACAGTGGCATTCCTAAGGACCTGCAGCCCAGCCACAGCTCTATAGCCCCTCCTACAGGCTTCACGGTAACAGGTGCCACAGCTACAAGTACCAATAATGCATCTTCTCCCTTTACTTCCCCTAACTGAGCGTGTCTGTGTGTTTGCAGGCAGGTGGGGAACCTGGTGTTTTCTATCTTTGTTTCCTGTTGATCATCCCTTTCCCCTTTTCCTAAAGAAGATTTTAAAAATAACAGATGGGGACTAGAGGGGAACTCCTTTTTCCAGTTAAACAAGTAACCCTGCAGTGGACCTCGCTTCAGTGTTCACATGTGCTCCTTTGCACTGGTGCTCATTCCCTCCCGGCGGGTTCACTCTTACCCCAGTGGTTTCCTTAGTGGCTCAGCACAGTGACTGGATAGAATTGATTTTTAGCAGCAAGTCCTAGAAGTGGAAGATACCTCAGATTACCAGTGCCCTTTACTATTTCCTAGTATTCAGATCAATGCTTTCCATTCTATTACCAGGTCTTTACAGAGGTGGTTCTAGATAGAATGGTCCTGTTCATCGAGTTCCTGTGTAAGAGACAGCAAATGGTGTGTAGGGACAGATCAAGGCTCTGACTTAGCACCAACTGCTAAACACCGCACGAGGCCAGGATTCCATTCCTAATTGTGATCATGTTCAATTAAAAAGAAAAACATTATTAGTCTTTTGACCGCCTGTGTGAATGTGTGCGCCCATGTGTGTGTTTTTGTGCAGGGCAGGAAGCAGCTGTCCCATGGTTGTTCTTTTTCTTTCTTTCTTTCTGTTTTTTTTTTCTTTCCTAACGAGTATAATAAGGCTCTTACTTCTCCTTTCCCACGTCTCACAACCCTAATAAGGTTGGTCATCCTTTCCCACCGAATTAACGAAGTTTCCCAAATAGAGAGGGTGGTGGTCTGGTGACGTGAATTGTACAACCCTCTTCCCCTAAGTTATCCAAGAACACGAGAAGCTGAATTCATGTCAGGGCCGTGGGGATGTCACAAAAAGCATGGAGTGACTGCAGGGTTGCTGAGATTCTGAGGTCTGGTGGTTATTTTGCCTTTTCAGACAGGTGTTTGTTTCTCCATCCTCTCTCATGGAATACATTCACGAGATGTAATTAAAGACCATATTTTGATGTGAAAAGCAGGCTAGGTCAGATACGTTTGGAAAGATGGAGTCTCCGAACTCCTTGGTCCATCTTTTACTTTTGAATTTTTCATGTTTACAGTAGTGATTCTTTGGTAAGAGTTGTAAAATGTTGAAGACACTTGTAGAATCAATGTGCCAGTTGTGAAGTGACGTGTAATATCTGAAGGATACACATTTTAAAGTTTCTTTCAAAGCAGAATATGGAAATTAGACCTAAATTTTACCTACCCTGTTGGTACTTTTAAAACAATTTAAGTACTTAGATTTAAGCTGCAGAATTTTTTTTAAAGTACCGAGATTTTAGGGTTGAAAATTATATTGGGTAGTTTAGTAAGTTGGTGACTATGGAAATGAATATGTGAGGTTTCTTTTTACCTGCCTTCTCCCCTGCCCCCTTCCCAAGGGTGGAACTAGATTTTAAAGTCATCTGTACTCTTCTGCTTTTGCTGAGAAGTTTCACCATCCCCTGAGATACCATTGGCTATTTATACCTGAGTCTAGTCTAATTTACATATATATATTTTAAAAGATGAGTAGAGAGAACATATCTATTAATGATGTGATATAATAATTCATTGGTCAGGGAATATTTGATCTGAATTCCTTTTCAATAGGTAAAGATTTGGATGTATTTTCCTACTTCCTATATGTATTCTCTTTATGCCATGCTAATTCTAACCAGTTCCCTTCTTTTGAAAGCTTTTCTTTCTCTGCTTTTTAAAGGAATGATGGTGATCAGCAGGCATTATGCAGATGCCATGCGCCTGAGGTTATGGAGGGGAAATGTCCCATGACTGTATGAAATCATTATATGCCCTATTTTGTATTTATTGAAGTTTCTTTTTTGTGGGCCAAAAATATGTTTGTAATATATTTAGTTTTTTTTTAATCATGATAATTGATTGGAAGATTTATTTTTTAATAGCTTTGCCTTTTTTGCAGATTGAGAAATTTCTAAATTATAAATTATGTCACAAAGCAAAATTATATTTGGTATCACCATAAATTTCTATTCTGAACGGTGAGAGCAGATAATTTGAATATTTCTCACCTGTGAACCTATGTTAGTAAGCTTTTTTATTTTAATGTACTGTAATGAAATGATGATGAGTAGTTACCTCTGCTCAGAAGTGTCATTTAGTTTGCTCCAGTCGTTTCGCCTCCCATTCTAATCCTCGCCGGATAACTGTCCATTCCCAGCAATTTGGTCTAGTCTCCATCGTGTACTAATCCAAGGTTGTACCAGAGCAGGACACTATCTTATCGGCCCCCTTCTTTGACAGCAAATGGAAAGTCATGGGGAGTCGGTTTGAACTTTTCTGGCTATTTGTCCCTCGTGGTAGCTGCTTAAAATTCTTCAGTTATCAAAACTGAGTTTGCAGTAAGTTGCACATTTTATTGTTCGCAATTTTCTGTTTTGTGTGCATTTAAAAGCCCTTTCCTGCTTTCTAATAAGGAGGCACGAAATGATCAGGAATGTTGCCAGTTACAGCTTCACACCAAAAACTTTTGAGTAAATTCATTTTTGTTTAGACGCCCACAGTGATAGCTGAAGAAAGGGCACCCGTAGAAAGTACCAGTGTAGGTTTGAGGAATTAGCAAAAAACAAATTTGTCCTCTCATTTCATCTACTGCAAAACAAATATCCAAGCTTGCAATTTGCTTTGCCTTTGCGGTTTCTTGCAAGTCCCTTTTTGGAAGACAGAAGAACATCTGTGAACCCAGAGACACCTGTTAACGTTTTTCTTTTAGCTGATATAGAGCAATTCTCGTCTATCAGTAGTAGGTTTGCTGTTAATGTGTAGAGGAAGGAATGAATTGTCTTTTCCTCCAGAAACAGGAAAATTAGTGTCTTTTAAATAGCACTTACACTATACTATAATAAGGCAATACTGGAATCAAAAACAGATTGTATGTAAGGTCCTAATTAGGTGGAAGCTAGCTTTTTATTCTAGGGTGAAACTCATCAGAAATAGTGGCAGAGAAGGGTCACTCTATTTCTGCAGTTCTTTGGGACCATTTATAAAGGCCAGTTAGATTGTGTTAATGTGATTTAATTTACAGAGTTGCTGCAGTTAATGGATACATTCTGTGCTCTGAGAATCTGAAGTCCATTCTAACGAATGATACTCACTGGCTGTGATCTATAGCATCCGAAGAAAAGATGTGTTTTCTCTCCTTTACTCTCTCTACATAATTGTTAATATTATTTTAATTAAAGTACTTAAGACATTGTTTTTTTCTCTGTAAAAATGGCTTAGTAATTTGCACATCTGCGTAGGTTATGTAGCTAGTAACAATTCACAATAGTAAATAGCAATTACACTTAACCCACCAAATGACAGACTATGCAATGGAAAAATTTTGTAATTATCGTCACAAAGCTTATATGGTGAAGGATTTTTTTTTTTTTTTCCCTCTAGTAACCTACCACGTGAGATAGAACTGCTTTATAAGTGACTTCCTGAGCAATTTCATGCTGGCAGGCAGTGCGGTGTGTCTAGTGTCCCTCCATGAAAAGATTATAATTTCATAAGAAGCAAATAGTAGGTATGGAGATAAAGTTGGAAGATGTGTTTCTTTGTTTTCTTTTCCTTAAGATTGTAGTTACTGTCTTGAGTGGTGTCAGGCTAAAGAAAGCTAATCCTTTATCTTTGCCAAATAATTATTTATAAGATTTATTTCTTCAATAAGCCCATTTATTTCTTCGATAAGCCCAATGTCTCAACTGCGAGCTAAGCCTCCTTACTTTCTGTGACTAACACTAAAAGCTATTCCTTATCAGAGCTCGTTCTCAGGCCACCATCGCAACCCAGAGGCAAAGACAGTGCTTTGATTTGGAAGGAAACGGTGTCTGTGATATGTGCCCGATCTGTAAGCTTTCTTCTTAGGTGAAAGAATTTCTGTTTCTGTTGACCAATATACCATTCAGTTTTTTGTGTTTTAAGTAGGCTCCACACCCAACATGGGGCTCGAACTCACAACCCTGAGAACACAAGTCGCATATTCTACCGACTGAGCCAACCAAGCACACCCCCTTCCATTCAGTTCGTTGTAACTTGCGCCCTTACGTTTGTCGTCCTCCCTGCCCCCGTGCGAGGGGTTCTGGGGCTGTGTCAGCAGTGTTTGAGGCGGTCGCCCTTTCTCCGAGTTAGTTCAGTAGGTTGTTGTGGACTGGTATTGCAAAAAGATGAAGATATTGATAACACTAAACTAATTATTTAATCAGTTTCGACTGCATTTGAAAAATTTTTTTTAGGTAGCTAGTTTTCAGGTTCTTCAACCTCTTTCTTTTTAGCCTTTTAACACTCTACTAAGTTGTGTTTTTAATCTGTTTTATGTGGAATAATCTGATCCAGTGGTCTTCTAAATGGTCAACAGAACTCTGCAGTTGAATGAGGCAGTTTAAAGGATTCCTTAAAAGAAAATGTAGTCATACTGAACAGTCTTCATCTGTATCTTTTAAACCTACACTAACACCTACCACTCCAAGGATTTTTTTTCCCGATGAGAAATACATTTCTTGGTGAGGTGGGAGGTAGAAGTATACATGTGATAGAACATCGATTTTTTTTCCCCCCCTCTCGCAATACATTGAAAATACAGACTCTTCACTGGCATTCTATAGAAAGGTAAAACAGTTTAATGACTTCTTAATATCTTGAGCCTTATAAGCGTTCCAGTATCATACCCTGGAGGGAACAAGAATCCATGTTTAGTAGATTAAAGTAACATTTTAAATGCTATCTTTCAAAAAATTTGACATAAAATACCAGTGAAGAACATATTTGGGTATCTGTTAAGCATTTCCCCCTGACTAGTGAGTTAGGAAAGAAAACCTAAAACACAAGTGAATAATTCTGTCTCCTAGTAGCCAGTGTCATTAATGCAAAAATTGCGGGGCCGACTTAGCCTCATTTCTCAATAGCAAAAATTCTCGTTCCCTTCACCTCTGATTTCTGTCAGCTTTCCCCTCTCTGCACTGTGATCAACAGAGCCAATAAAGGACACGTGGCATTTCGGAGAGAGAGCAAATTTGGTGTGACTTTCTTGACCATAAACTAGGTTCCCAAGTCTTGGGGATGTCTGACTACTTTGAGTGGCGGAGTTTTTTGGTGATCTAAAGTTGAGTCTGAAAAAGAATGTTGCAAGAGAAAAGCTTTCTAACTCTTGGTAAGCTCTGTAGGGCAGCCCAGCTTTCCTCCCCTCTTCCCTCCTGCCTGCCTGCCTCCGCCTGCCCCCGGTTCTCAAGTATGCACACGTACAGCCTGATCTGTCCTGATCGTGGCCTGAGAGTACTAGAAGCTGCCTCTTGCACTTGTTCGTTTGTTCTTACTTGTGTGTTTAAGCTGGGACCACTGAAGTAAGCTCTAGATGCACCCAAAGTTCCCCTTGGAAAAAATGTCAGTATGCAGTGCGGAAGGTTCCAGTGCAGCTAGACGCCACACCATTGCTTTTGCTCGGGGACTAGACTGATTTGCCCTGAAAGGACTCCACCCTGCCTGGTTCGGGCCCAGTGGGCTCCAGCAGATTAGCGTGGAAGTGACAGGAAATCTGGTGCTTGGAACATTGTCTTCATCTGCTCAGAAGGGTTGGAATCAGTTCCTCGGCACAGTGATCGTTCTTTTCGCTGTACAGTGTTGAGTATGTCTCAGGGATTCCTTGTGGAAATTAGGGCAGTTTTTAAAATAAGAAAATAGTTTTAAAAGAAACTAAAGGTGACTCACCATTGAAGAGAGCGCAAGAAAGAGAAAACATTTGCTTTCATAGCCCGCCGTGTCTTGCGTAGGACTCTTCCTTTTCTCCTGCAGGCTCTCCTCCGCTTCAGCAAACAGTCCTTTCCCACCACGCACAGCTTTAAAAGTTTTATTTAAAAATTTCCTTCCCCGATGAGCTTTCAGAATACTTATTGTAGATTTTAAGAGAAAAGGTATATTAATTTATACTATTAACATCACCTCATAAATTATAAGTTTTATACTAAAGCTGTATTGAGTGTAATGAATTATGTTGCCTATGTGTTTTAATAGCTTAAAAAATTATATATGAGCTTTTTTTTTTTTTTTTTTTTTTTTTTTTGACAAAACAAACTAGTGAAGCACCTTTTTACACTGGATCTCTGCCGTGTCAAGGTGTATAGCTATCCTTTGCTACCTTGCAGATATATAAAATAAAAGGATATCCTGGGGCCTCAAAACGTAGAACACCTTTAGACCATTTATTACTGCTCATAGAACTGTTGGGCGTCGTGTTTCTTTAGTAACTGATCTGTGGTTTACACTTCAGATGGCTAGAAGCTTAGTTACAGGGTAAATAGAAATACATAGATCAAGCAAAGCTCCCAACTACTGTAGCTGGAATTTGTAAACTTAAGTTTTTAAGACCTCCTTTATTTCCTATGGATTTATTCTTTAATTTACAGTTTATTCTGTAAGTTGGGAAGTAAAATAGAGAAAATAATAAGTCTAGATGTTCTCAGTGTCTTATTCAGGAACTTTTTATCCCTCCTCACTAAGGAATTCCCACTGTGACTTAAAAATAGAATTAAATTACTCGTGTGCATGTCTCTGTCTGTGTTTTTACGCACATGCAAAAATATACATTGGGGGGGCACGTGTGTGGGAGAGGTGAATGTGTGCTTAGGTGAAAATAGAGGAAGGTAACAGAATGTATTGTAGAAATATGACTATTTAGAGGGGGCTATCAGAGTTATTTTCTCTTTGTCTCCGTAGTATAAATACACCAAATTCTTCATTATGCTATCTTATGTTAAAAGGCTATCTCTGATATCATGTGCATTTTCTTTTAACTTTTGATTAACTTATATATTACGCTATGTTTTTAAAATGACGTGAGAAACAGCAGGTTCTAAGACCAGCCTCTCACCTTTGAGCATAAAAATTAGAGAGAGAGAGAAAGAGAGAGAGAGAGAGAGAGAGAGAGAGATGCAAACCCAGACGTGAGCTGTGTTTATCTACTGGGGTGATGGGACCAGATCCGTTGAACCTTTCTTTATGTTAATAATAGATCTCTTCATATTCTGAGTTAGAAAATCTTGAACATCTTTTCTTGGTAAAGTTAAGGAAAGTATAGGCTCTTTTTAAAGAATGCCATTTTTTGAAGGGACTGCTTTGTTGAAAGAGTTGGTGGGATCATTTCACCATGCATATTTCAAAGCTGGGATGATTTTAGTTATCTCCAAAAATCAAAAAAAAAAAATTTTTTTTAACTCATTTGTGCTCTTACTTAGGAAGTGAGTGTGCCCCCGGCCCCCGTATTTTGGTTACAGGAAAAATTATGCTACCCTTGACTTTTACCTGATTCATAGGGAATTTAAAAAAGATACATTCCTATAGTTTGAGTTTTGTCATTTTGCCATACATTAATTACTGGAGTATCTGGTGGTCTCAGATAGCCCAAACTAGAGTTGTTATTAAGTGCTCCAATCACATTTATATTTAATATTAAAAAAAAATCATGTACTTTGAAATATGTCAAAACAACTCCTGATACTACACCTGAATTTGTAGTTCTCTTTGAAGCCTCATTCATCTTAGGTATAGTCAAGACCTAGGAGAGCTTTACATGTCGTTCCTTTTATAGTTGTATTTCTGCATCTCCCAGTTTCATTCACTCTTGCTTTATGGATTAAAAAAAAAAAATCTGCATATTTCTTGTACATATGCATGCAAATGAAAGAAGGGGGTTGGTTTCGGTGCCACTCCTCCCTTCAGTTACTGGTTAATGGGATTTGCTAGAATAAATTCCCCCTGATTGAAGGGTGAAAATAGACCCTTTTGTGTATATCTGTACAGAGATGTGTATATGGGATGTGGTGGCACTTTGCTGAATGTGAACTTGCCTTGTTAATGGAAAGATTGAAAAGTATTATGTTTATTTATACATTTGTATAAATCTATATATACACGTATGTATATGTGTGTGTATAGATAAAGCTATATACATATATTTCCCTAAATGTGTGTGTGTAATAGATAAACAGCCTTTGTGAAGCAAGATTATCCGTCCCTGGAAAACTCTGGGTTATTCTGTAAGCAAGAGGAGGTGACAGTCTAGAGTACTGCATCCTAAGACGGAAGTCCTTTGGATGATAGTCTTGTTCATGGTTATTATAAATGAATTCCTGCTAGAACTATTCTTACTTTCCAGTTCCACTATTCTTCACCTTCATGCCTTCTCCTATCCAAGTAGTAACCAGGCCCGACCCTATCCAAGTACTAACCAGGCCCTACCCTGCTTAGCTTCTGAGATCAGACGAGATCGGGCGCATTCAGGGTGGTATGGCTGTAGACTTTCACTGCCTTCTAAATCAGTCTCTCATCACACCTCATTTGGTACTTCCCCACCCCCCCCACCCCCATTATGGCCTTTCTAGCCAGAAGCATTTGGCTTAAGCATATTTCATTAACTCCTCAGTTGTTTCTTTTAAAGATCTTACGCTCTTACATTTTCCAGAAGATGTAAGTTTTGGTAATAGTTTCTAGAGTAGTTTTGAGGATTGGGCATTCGTCTTTGTCTCAAAAACGAGCAAACCAACAGTCAAACAAAACGCATTTGAAAGTTTTACCTAGATAATTTTGGGACATTTTACTCACATTGGCAAAGAACATAATTACGATTTTATAATTGATAACAGTGTTAGGTTTATTTTCTCCTTTACCGTCATCAATTTGTCACTTAAAAATTTGGTTTACTTTGTGTTTTAGCCACAAATTTGCCATTTTCATTTTTCATGGAAAGCGTACAAAGTCACGCATATGCCTCTTGAATTCTCTAACTCCTTTTACTCATGATGAAACTGCTTTAATGAATTCTTACGTAATGAGTTTTGCTGTATTTCCTCTTGACTTTTTTTCACGTTGGTGACATTCTGTTTTAACTTTGCTGCAGCTCTCTACAACACTTGCATCCCTATATATTGTGCCTTTAAAGCTCTTATGCACACACAGACAAAAGTGTATATATACATGTTGGAGCATGTGTACATATACTTTCGCATATACTCACACAGTATGTCTCATATATTGTGGGAGTGGATATATAGATATTCAAAGGCAATGAAATGTTGCTTTCCAGATATATATGTATATAAATAGTGTTGATATACTGTATATACACATGTATATGTATGAGTTTTAAATGGCAATCTTTTACATTTAGCAAAATGCTGCCCCTACTGGAATATTGTCACTGCAGTGGCAGTTGTATGTAATGATTTAAAATACATTATCGAAAATTATTTAAAAGAACATTTAAAAGTCTCATCTAAAGACATCCACACATTATTTATTTATCTTCCTTTTCCTTTTTATTGTTACTTTTTTTTTTTTTTTTAACCGAAAGGGAGACTGTCATTTTTTAAAATGCCATCTGTCCCATAGGAGAAAGAGAGAGAGCGCTGGAGATTCACTTGAGGAACCTTGTGCATTTTTCCTCTCTCTCAAATGGAGATGTACCACAAACCAGCCTGTTTATTTCAGTTATAAAGCAATCCTAACATTTCCATTAGTGTATGTCATCCACCATCTTCTGGACCAACTTAATTCGCCAGTCTGCCTCTTCCTTTCATTAATAAGTAATGATCACTGAGATCATTTTGCCTGGGGGGGAAGTTAACTACTCTCTAGCTGCAGGGAATTATATCACCTAATTGTTATTCTGCCTTGTTCAAAATTCAACTTTGAGGGAAGGCAGCGCTCCTGAAGCTGTCTTGAGCATGTTTTGCATTTATTTACTTAAAAGGTCTTCCCAGACACTTTTTTTTTTCTTTTTAAAAGAGCTCCAAGTCTGCATGCACTTGCCATAGATTTCTTATTCCCCACAACTTCAGGTGTTTTCATTAGTATATCAATTTGACACGCCGAATGACAGACTATTAAGGAAAAAAACGTTGAATATTTTATTTTGTGATGAGTTGGCAGCAGATTACATTTCAAGACCTCACAGAGAGAGGAACATAAACATAGATGGACAATCCTCCATTGTAAGACGTTACAAAAAACGCAAAAACAAAAAACAGTGGATTGAGAGTTCCCCTGAACACTAAAACAGAGAGGTTGGGGTTTGAGGGATTTCATGGAATAGTTTAGCTGGAACTTGATATCAGAAGCAGCCTTTAACAGAAAGCCTCTTGGCAATTGTATGGTACTAACTGGAGTCCTGAGGTGTGAATTGAAACCAAGTTGCAGTGGGAAATCAGAGGTGAGGTGGTAACATCTTTGAATCCAGTAAGTGACAGGTTGCACAGTTGTAAAATCTCTTCTTACCAAGTAACTGCACGGTAGCAAGGACTAGCGGTTCTCAAAGCCCTTCTTTTTCAGTGTTCTCATTCACCTTGGCACACAAGTATGTTTAACAGGCCATACATTAAAACTATTTACAAAAAAAAAAAAAAAAAAACCTGCTTAAAGGGAACTTACAAACTGAGAATCTTCTCTCTATTTGCATGAATAGTGGCTAGAAGCTTAGTTATATGCACAAAAGCTAAGGGGCCACTCGTTTCTGCACAGACTATAGGAGCAAGATGAGGAGGTTGGCAGGTTTGGGTAAGAGCCCCACCCCCCCACCCCCATCCCCCTGCTGCCCAGTTCTAACGGAAAAGCGTATCTATGGCATTGAGTATGGTATTGCTGGGGGGGTGGGGGTGGGAACCACATTTTGGGAGGCGATGGGCTTTTGGTTTGTAATTTCCCTTTAAACATGAAGAGATGGCTCACATTTTCCATATATATCTCAATGAATGTACTGTATTACTGTTTTAAAAATTTGATGAAATAATAATGGATTGGTCTCCTTTTGTTATCTGGTCCTTGTTTAATTTGTTTAAGGATTTTTGTATACAAAAGTTTACATTTTTATGTATATTTTTCTTGTGTAAAAACTGATGTAATATGTGTATAAAACACTGTATGTATTATCTGTATATAGTGTGACAAAATGATTTTTCTTTCTTTCTTTTGGATGTATTAATAAATCTTGCTGTGAAGTAGCCTTGTTTTGGGTATAATTTCCTTTGCCTGGATATACATAGAAGCTGCAAATCCAGGGCACACATATTCCCCCCCCCCCTTTGTTATTTAAGTAGAGTAATTATTTTAATGTATTTTATCAAGAACTCCAGGGAGATGTACTCATGGTTCTTTATGGTTAGACCAACAACGATTAATATTTGTAGTAGCTATAGATCAGTTAAAGCCTAAGTGACTTTAACGTGGTATCTAACCTTGAAATGCAACCAGAAGTTGCATTTCTATTTCATTTAATCAGAAGCCCCTTCTCTCTTCATTTTCATAGCTTCACAAGTATAAGAAGAACTTCATGTTGTATAACCAAAAGTTTAAAAAAAGAAAAAACTTGAAGAAACATTTTTTTATTTTTTTTAATAGGCGGATTGGAACTTTTCATTTCCTGTGCTGTCTTGTTGCCAAAGGATTTTGTGGTGCACATAGAGGCTAGGATAAAAATCATAAGGAGAAATTAGTGAACTAATCACATATCCCTTTTCTTAGAGATTTACTATTTTTCACTTCTGTGGGACATTTAGACTGGTTTTCCTTCTTCCTTAACCCAGGCATGCTTAAGATACATCTAAAATTGTACTTTGCTTCTCCTAAAGAAGGTGACATTTTGAGACCAGAAGTGCAGATGCCCACAGTACGAGCAAATTGGCCCGCGGTAACAACGTCATCCATCCCGGGCTCCACTTTTGAAATTGACAAGGTATGAAGAATAATGCTTGAAATTGATCTGTCCATTTCTTCCGTTATATGATAGTTGATTTTAAACTCCTGTTCATGGGGCGCCTGGGTGGTTCAGTCAGTTAAGCGTCCGACTCTTGATTTCGGCCCAGGTCATGATCTCCTGGTTTGTGGTTTGACCCCCTTCATCAGCTCTGCACTGACAGAGCGGAGCCTGCTCGGGATTCTCTCTCCCTCTCTCTCTCTCTGCCCCTCTCCCGCTTATGCTTACTCTCTCTCTCTCCAAATAAATGTGTAAAGCGATTATTAAATTCTTTTGTTTATTTCTATTAAGGATGCTCCTTTTCTGAATATCTGCACAAATCACAAGCTTTTGAGATTGTCCTGGCTCAGTTCTTGATTTGATTTTTAGAAACTAGCTGCCTTAACGAGACAAGATTATTAGTGAAATGTTTTCAGATGAGGCCACATCTTTAAAAGCGTGATGCTAGGAGCCTGTGGATCGCCAAGTAAAAGCAAAAATTAAAGTTTAGAAGAGAATCTATTTTTTTAACTCTTCATTGACGTATCTTCACTTCCTTGCTCTTTCCTCTGTTCTATTAATAATATTTTTTTTAAGTAAGCACCACACCCAACGTGGGAGTTGAACTTATGACCCCGAGATCAAGAGTTGCATGCTCTACTGACTGAGCCAACCAGGTGCCTCATTAACAATAATTTTTTTTTTATGTTTATTTATTTATTTATTTATTTAGAGAGAGAGGGAAGGAGAGAGAGCACAGGGGGAGGGTAGACAGAGGGGGAGAGAGAGAATCTCAAGCAGGCCCCACGCTGCCAGCTTGGGGCTCGATGTGGGGCTCAATCTCATGAACTATGAGATCATGGCCTGAGCCTAAATCAAGAGTCAGAGGCTTAACCATGTGAGCCATCCA